TGCGTGTGCGTGTGGGTGTGCACACCGGGCTGTGTGACATCCGGCAGGACGAGGTGACGAAGGGCTACGACTACTACGGCTGGACGTCGAACACTGCTGCGCGCACTGAGAGCGTTGGTAACGGCGGGCAGGTGCTGCTGACGGGTGCCGCGTACGTATACTTGAGCACGGCTGAGCGTGAGCAGCTGGACGTGACTGCGCTTGGCGGTGTTGCGCTGCGCGGTGTGCCTGTGCCTGTGGAGATGTACCAGCTGAACGCTGTGCCCGGGCGCACCTTCGCCGCACTGCGGCTTGACCGTCAGGATGTGGACGACCTGGAGGATGCGGAGAGCGACGACCATTCGATGTCGTCGGCGTCGAAGGACGGGCTCTCGAGCGCTGGTGTGAATCCTCTTATCTCTTTGATGACGGACATGTTTGCCCCGCTACCGTTGTAGCAGCGATGGAAGATGCTTCATGCCCTTTCTGAGCGTTGGTGTGTCGCCCTGCCGTCGAAGCACGNCGCTGCGCGGTGTGCCTGTGCCTGTGGAGATGTACCAGCTGAACGCTGTGCCCGGGCGCACCTTCGCCGCACTGCGCGTGGAGGTGGAATGTGGGGAATCGTTGTCGTCCGATAGTGACGAAATTGTTATTGCAAAAGTGGGGTTCAATTTGTACGGCAGACGGTCATTGGTTCTTTTTGAGTGTTGGCAGTTTGCTGTGCTGAGCTGTGTTTTGATGCTGCAGGAGGGGAAGGTTGTGAGAAAGTGCTGGGACTGAGTGTGGCGGCTTGCTGCCTCTCTGTGCCTTTGATCAACTGCGTGTTTGGGGGTCGCCGTTGTCGTACGAATGGGGATTTGCTGTGCTTGATGGTGCCAGTGGGGATCAGTTGTCTGCTGCTGGGGGGCGGCGGTGTCCGACTGGACTCTGCGGTCTTCGCGTGTTTGTGGCGGCGCCCTCTTGTGAGGTGAGTGCTGGCGGTGTTGGGGTGGCGGGGGTGCATCGTGGCGGCTGCTCCCACTTTTAACGCCTGTGTGTCACTGAATAAATCGTTTGCGCTCCGCGTCACCACTCTTGTGAGCGTCTGACGCGCTTTTTCGTTTCTGTTTTTGTTTCGTGTTTTGCTTGCGACAGCGCCACCCTGCCGGTGCCCAACGTCGCGCTGTGGCTCCCGGCCGCTGTGTGCGGAGGGGCGCTGCGGCTCTGCGGGGTGGCCACGTGGTGAGCGGCGTGAGGCCTGCGTGCGCTGCTGTTGTCTTCCCTCGTTTGCTGGCTGTGCCACCGTCTTTCTTTCTTCTTGCTTGGAGCCGGGGCCACCCGGTGGGCGTGGCTGCTGCGCTGCTCCCGTTATAACATCCTGTTTTCTTCTTTGCTGGCGAGATACCTCGCTTGCTGGTCGTTGACTCTTGTCTGCGGGCTGTTTCATTGCTGCTCTGCCGCCGGGCCACGGCCCCACACTATTACGCCGCTGCGCGTGTGTGCGGGTTGTTGCGGTGGGTGTGTCGCTGTGCGCCGCAGGTCTGTTTGTGCACGATTTTGTTGTCGCTACCGAACCTTTTATGCTTTCATTTCCATTGCAGCAGTGAAGTGTTGTTTTTTTTTTATTCTCTTTTCAAAATACACACAGAAACACACACGCACGCTTCACCCGTTCTTTCAATGCCAGCGCCGCCTCAATTATATGTGGAATCCCTGCTGCTTCGGCCGTACATTTCAAACGCACAGAAGGTCGGCACTCAGAAGTGCCGTACGCCCCGCTGCCCGCAACATGTGCACCACAGACGCCAGGTACTGCAGCAGCCACCTGGAAGCAACTAGGCGTCGCGGGGGACACAATGGTCGCAGCAAGGGAGAGGATGCCGCGCCAACACCGGAGAGTTGGCCTCAGTGTGAAAGGAGAAAGGAAAAAAAAAACATATAAGCGGCAAGCACATGATTTGCTTTTGGGGATGAAAATATACGAGGGCTGTTTTTTGTTTGGGGGTGGGGGGTTCAACAATTAACTGTTGGAGTGAAACACTTTTGAAGGAGTAG